GAGTGTCAGTAGAGAAAAGGGCCCCTAAGACATGAGATGCAAGTGGAAGGAACCAGCACCCTCCTTGGCAACAGACACACTGAATTTACTACTATTACCATTCATTAGTAGCTGTTCATTGTTGAAGACTTCCACATTCAGCCACGAAAAAGCAAGAGAGACCAGATTTACCATCCTGGCCCTCAAAAAATTGATAAAATATATGAAACCACAGTTTTAAGATACTGGACAAAAGGAAAAAGTAGGAAAAAAAAAAGATACTGGACAACTGGCAGCCCAAACAGTGAACGCCGAGAGAAGGGAAGAGATGAGTGAGCATCACAGCTGCTCAGCTTCCTGCCTGTGGAGAGCTAGCTGCACAGGATGGAGGCCCCAAACATAGCACAACAAGTTGATGAGGCAGAGTTGAGAAATCGTGGAGGCCAAGGCAGCTGGATCCACAAGGCAGAGCACTGGATGGTACGCATGGAGTACACGGAAGGCAGACAGCAGACACTGAGCTAGTGCTCCAAGGCCTGCTGAGATTCCCCTCCAGTCTATGCTGAGCACTGATTAGCAGGTGCGTGAAAAGACTACCTACCAAGAGAGAGAGGACTGCTGGAAATGAGCAAGTACAACAATCACCCAGGGCCCAGAGTGAGAAACCTCTGAATCCACAAGGATGAGGTAGGGCACTCAGGACATACAGCCTCAGGAGTGGGAAGAAATCAGCCCTACCCCAAGGCTGCTCTGGTCCTCCAAAAGGCTTAAAGATAAGCCTTCAAAAGCAAGGGACTATAAAGGATCAGACAGTAAATATTTTGAGCTTGGCAGGCCATCCATTCTCTCTGTCACGACTATTCTATTGCTGAAGCACAAAAGCAACCACAAACCCGAACAGAAATGAACAGGTATGGCCAAATTTGGCCTGCAGACTGTCGTTGGCCAACTCCTGCTCAAGAGTATCAAACATTAGCTAGGTAACTCAACTGTATCTTAGAACAAAGCTCAAAAATAGGTAAAGGAATAAAAAATATCCAGTATACAACAAGGTAAAAATCACACTGCCAGCACTGAATCAAATATAACCAGGTATGCAAAGAAACAAGAAAACATGACCCATGATTAGAGAAAAGAAAATAAAAGACAATCAATTCAAACCAACTCAGAAATGACAGACAGAATATAATCAGTAGGCAAAAACATTCAAGCCATTTTATTATAACTATATTCCATATGTTCAAGAAGGCAGAGGAAAGCATGGGCCTAAGGAAAGCCATGGAAAATATAAAAAGACCCAAATCAAACCTATAAAGATTTTTTAATTGTCTGAAATGAAAAATAGCCTTGATGTGACTAACAGCAGTTCAGATACTAAAGAAAAAAAAACAGTGTACTCGAAGGCACAGCCTTAGAAACTATCCAAAATGAAACACCAAAGGGCCTAAATACATGAAAATGGACCCCCAAAAGCGGGGAGGGGGAAGAAAAATTTTTGAAAAAATAATGGTTAAAATTTTCTAAAATTACATTCAAAGATCAAAGAAACTCAGTGAACCCCATGCACAAGAAATGAAGAAAACTGTAAGATACATCATAATAAAATTATTTGAAGATCAGTTGATAAAGAGAAAAATCTTAAAAGAAACCAGAGGGAAAAAAGACACGGAAGAACAAAGATAAGAATGATACCAGATTTCTCACTGGAAATTAGAAAACAGTGGAACAATACCAATTCTGTACAAATTCTTCCAAAAAACAGAAAGGAGGGTATAATTCCCACTTCATTTCATTAGGCCAACATTACTCCAATACCAAAACCAGAAAAAAAATTATAAGAAAACTAAACACCAATATACTTCATGAACACAAACTCAAAATTATTAACAAAACTTTAGTCAATCAAAAACACATATATAAAGACGGTAATACAACATGACCAAGTGTAGTTGACCCCAGATATGCAAGGTTGCTTTAATGTTTGGATTCAATCAGTGCAATGCACCATATTAAAAATCAAAAAAAAAAAAAAAAAAGATCTCATTAGATGCAGAAAAAAGCCCTTGACAAAAATCAAACATCCATTTGTGATACAGAATCTCAGAAAACTAGGAATAGAAGGGGACTTCCATAACCTAATAAAGGGCATCTAAGAAAAACTTAGAGCTAACACCACTGATGAAAGACTGAATGCATTCTTCCTGAGACTGGAATAAAGCAAGGATGTCTACGCTTACCATTTCTACTCAGCACTGACCAGGGATTCTAGCCACTTTGATAAGACAAGAAATAAAAGGCACAGATTAGAAAGGAAACATTAAAACTTCTTTACTCACAGACATGATCATGTATATAGAAAGTCCTAAGAAAATCTTCAAAAAAGCTGTTAAATAAATAAGCTTATCAAGTATAAAAGATAATATACAAAATCAACTCTATTGTTACAGACTAGCAATAATCAGAAACTGAAATCTGAAATATAACAATTTAAAATAGCATTAAAAATATAAAATATTTAGGAATAAATCTGACAAGAGACATATAATCCCAGTACACTGAAAATTACAAAATGTCATAGAGAAAAATTAAAGATGACTTAGTAACTGGAGAGATATACCATGGCTATGGATTATAAAACTCAGTATTATTAAGATGTCAATTCTTTCCAATTTTATCTGTAAATTCAACACAATTTCAATTAAAATCTCAGCAGGACTTTTTTCAGATACTGAAAAACTGATTTTAAAAAGTTCAAAAGCCTGACCCTATTTCATATCATATTTAAAAACTAAGCAAGGACTTCCCTCCCAGTCCAGTGGTTAAGACTCCATGCTTCCAATGCAGGGGGCATGGGTTCAATCCCTGGTCAGTGAACTAAGATTCCACATGCCATGCAGCACAGCCAAAAAAAAGAAAAGAAAAGAAAAAGAGGGCTTCCCTGGTGGCGCAGTGGTTGAGAGTCTGCCTGCTGATGCAGGGGACACGGGTTTGTACCCCGGTCCGGGAAGTTCCCACATGCCGCGGAGCAGCTGGGCCCGTGAGCCACGGCAACGGGAGGGGCCACAACAGTGAGAGGCCTGCGTACCGCAAAAAAAAAAAAAAAAAAAAAAAAGAAAAAGAAAAAGAAAAACTAAGCCAAAATGGATCTTAGACCTAAATCTTAGATCTTAGACCTATGTTTTCTAGAAGAAAACATAGGAGAAAATAATAATGATTGGATTTGGCAAAGATTTCTTAAATAGGACTTAAAAAGCACAAAGTGTTTAAAAAAAAACCCAATAAATTGGAAATCAAAATTTTAAACTTTTCTTCAAAAGACACCCTTATCGTAAGCAACAAAAGAAAAAATAAATTGGACTTAATCAAAATTAAAAACTTTTGTTTTGCAAGGGATACCACCAAGGAAGTAGAAAGACAACCCAAGAACGAGAAAATGTTTGCAAATCGTGTATCTGGTAAAGGAACTGCATCCACAATA